ACCTGCAGGAACCAGAGCACGAGGATCCAGTCCTGGAGAACATTGGGAAATTGACTTCACTAAGGTAAAGCCTGGACAATATGGGTACTGCTATCCCTTGGTGTTTGTAGACACCTTTTCGGGTTGGGTAGAGGATTTTCCTACAAAGTCTGAAACCACTGAGATAACACTTAAAAAGTTATTACAGTAGATTGTTCCCAGATTCGGCCTGCCTATATCCTTGGGGTCTGACAATGGTCCGGCTTTTACAGCCCAAATTTCTCAATTATTATCAAAGCATTAAAGACAGATTGGAAGTTACACTGTGTTTACAGGCCTCAGAGTTCAGGACAGGTAGAATGGATGAATAGAACCTTAAAAGAAGCTCTTACCAAACTAAAGCTAGAGACTGGCAAAAACTGGGTGAATCTCCTTCCTTTTGCCCTACTATGGGCCAGATGTACCACCTATGTAAAAGGAATCACTCCTTATGAGATAATGTTTGGAAGGCCACCCCATTTGTTACCACGTCTCAGGGATGAAAAACTTGCTGAAATCACTAATCACAACTTATTTCAGTCTCTCCAAGCCCTTCGACAGGTGCTAAGCCAAATTCATCATCTGGTTCAAGAAGCCCCCCCCGCTGACAAAAAACCTGACGCCACATTCACAACAGCCAGGGGACCTCATCTGTGTAAAATGCCACCACCCATCCACCCTTGAGCCCAGATGGCAAGGACCCTTCCCGATTGTCCTGACCACCCCAATGGCTGTAAAGTTTGCAGGAAAGAGCCATTGGATACATCACACCCACCTCAAACAGGCCTTCAAACCGGACTCATCAGACCCAGAACAGCTCCAGGAGAGATGGACAGTTCAGCACTCACCAGAAGACCCACTAAAGATAAGATCGTCTCACTTGCCCCCTTGATTGTATTAATTGTCTTTCACTATGCAATGCCTGTATTGGGGAACCCACATCAGCCTAAAAAATTATACTTGGGAGTTAAGGGCTACTGACATGGAAAAAGTTATTAAGAATGTTACTAACTCAGGGGCCCCAACCTTCCTAGTTGATCTCTGTGAATTAATGTAGGGTCCCCGACCCAATGAACTGGCAGCTAAGCTGATCTCAGTACCTCCCCCATGTGGATATAAAGAAAGGGGATCACAGGGCATAGAATTTTATGCATCCCCAGCTGCAAGCTGGCTCCTCCTGCCAGGGGAAAGACCAATACTACTGTGCCAGTTGGGGCTGTGAGACTGAAGCCTCTTGGACACATACAGACACCTGGATACGGCTGGCTTGATGACAAGCCCCTACTGGGGAATGCTCTGTGAACCAATGCAATCCTATGAACCTTACTGTTATACTTTGGAACCCCTACCTAGTGAGTGGGAGAAGGGAAAAACATGGGGCATAAGATTATATATCTCCGGCAGAGAAACAGGAGCTAAATTTACTATTGAAATGAAGGGAGAAGTTCCAATATATACCCCAATAGGGCCTAATAAAGATCTACTGCCCCAACTTCCCGTCCTCCTTCCACCAAACAATAAGTCCCTTTACAGGCCTCCTTCTGGCCCACCTGGGGCTCCCTATCAGCCTACCCCTTGGTCCCGCCTCCCTTTCCAAAATCCCCTTGTTAATACTATTGATGCCTTGTTCCACTATCTGAATTTAACCGACCCAAATGTTACTCGGAGTTGCTGGTTGTGCTTGGATCCTAAACCCCCTTATTACATAGGCTTAGCTATAAGTGATGTTAACGTCTCTGACTCAGCAAGTCATAATTCCTCTATTAGGAGCTTGAACTTAACCTATATTGACCAGCAATGACTTTGCCCTTGGGGTCGTACACCTAAATTAACGCTTGGTGGCATCCAGGGACAAGGGTTTTGCTTATACTCCCCAAACTATAATTTGTCTACATCCCCTTATGACACCAGTTGTAACCAGACCCACACGGTTGATCAGACAACTTTCTCCTCTCCTCTTTACCTGGTTGCTCCTGCTAACACCTGGGTTTGCCTGCTTAATGGGATTAACCCCTTGTATCTCTATCCAGTATTTTGCTTCTTCAAATGTCTCTGAAATGTGTATTCTGGCATATATAATACCCCAAGTATACTATTATAAGGGAGAGACAGGATTCCACCATTTCATCACCAAAAGAGCAGTACCTATCCTCATTCCTGTATTAGTGGGACCAGGCATTGCTGGGTCCGCTGCAATTGGAACTGCTGCCTTAGTAACAGGAAAACAAGATCTTCAAGAACTTAGCCACCAAATAGACATTGACCTAGGGGAGTTAGAAAAATCTGTAAATAGAGTAGAAGAATCCCTAGACTCTTTAGTCGAGGTGGTCCTACAAAATAGTCAAGGTCTGGACTTGCTCTTCCTTAAAGAAGGGGGATTATGTGTAGCCCTCCGCAAAGCTTGTTTCTATACCAACCGTTCAGGTGTCATTAGGAACAGCCTTGCCTTAGTCAGAAAACACATTAAAGAAAGAGAAGAGTCATATAATAACAACAAAAATTCGTATGAGAGTTTCTTCTCTTGGTCACCTTGGTTAAAGACTTTAATAACAGCAGTTTCAGGCCCCCTAGTCCTCTTCCTCCTCCTAGTCACTATCGGACCTTGCCTGGTCTCCCGCCTCATTATTTACATCCAAGAATGGGTACAGTCAATTAAACTCCTTGTCCTACATACCAGGTATAATAAATTAAGTACTGAAGAATCAATGACTTGATTCCTTCCTAAAGAGGAGCTGGAAATGACATAGGGAGATCCCCACTTTCATAACATGCAATTTGTTTCTGTGAAACTGCTTGCTATGTGACAAGGTAGATTTATTAAGTGTCTGAATTGCTTAAACTTTGTTATAAAAATTGTTAGGGGCCGGCCCAGTGGCGCACTGGAGAGTGCGCCGCTTGGGAGCGCAGCGGCGCTCCCGCCGAGGGTTCGGATCCCATGTGGAGACTGGTTCCCGCTCACTGGCTGAGCACGGTGCGGGCGCAACACCGAGGGTTGCAATCCCATTACTGGTCAGTAAAAAAGACAAAAAGGAAAAATAAATAAATAAAAATTTTCATAACAAAAAGTTGAAATTGTTATTGTTTGCTGTGGGACAAGGTAGATTAATTAAGTTTAAATAGTGTTTGAATTGCTTAAAAAATGTTATTGTTTAAAAATCCCCCTCGGCTCTTTAGCACCCATTAATAAAGGTTAAAAGCTAAATATTAGCCTGCACTTGGAAAAGTCTGAACTTTGTTTGATGATCCCCACTCAAGCTGCCCCTGAGCGATTAACTGGCTTCTTTCAGCTTCTGTTATCAGCTTGCACTAAGCCTCCCCAAACACCCTCCTTACACCAGGAGGGTATGTGTGTGTGTGTGTGTGTGTGACTATATGATAACTGTAAGTGTGTGACTATTTTAACTGTGTGACTAATGTAAAATGTGCCTTTTAAAAAACCGCCTAAATTTCAAGTCAGCGCTGCTCCCTTCCGAAAACCTTCTTGGAGGACAGTCACTGGCCGGCCATTAAACCCCCTTTTAAATTCTCAGTTGGGTGTTCTGGTTCCTTTTCCATGTGGCAGCCTCACAACAACCTCTCAACATTATTGCACTGGGAATTAAGTTTCCCACCATGTGAACTTTGGGGGACATATTCAAACCACAGCAAAAAGGCAAGTGAGAGACTGGGAGAAAATATCTGTTAAACATACATATAACAAAGGATGTATATCCAGTATACATAAAGAACTCTTACAAATCAATAATTAAAATACAAACATCCTAATTTTTTAAATGGACAAACTACCTGAAGAGACATGTTACTAATGAAGATATACAAATAGCCAAAAAGCACATGAATAGTGCTCAACATTGTTAATTACCAAGAAAATGTAATTAAAGCCACAAAAAAATATCATTTTAAAGTCACTACAATGGCTAAAATTGCAGGACAATGAAAACGCTCAGACGTTGCTGGTAGAAATGTGAGGGTACTTCAAAAAAAAATCACAGAAAAATAGAATTAGAAGATAATTCACACCTTTCCATGAACCTTCTGAAGTACCCTCGTATAAAATGATACAATCATCTTGGAAAAAATTTTTGACAGTTTCTTATAAACGTACACCCATCTCATGACCTTGCAACTATAGTAGTGGTTAGCCAAGAGAAATGCAAAGATATGTTGACAAAATACTTGCACAATAATGTTTATAGAAATTTTATTTACCATAACCAGAAACTGGAAACACCCCAGATATCCATCAACTCACAATCCATCAAATTGTGGTGTAGTTATAAAATGGAATACTACTCAACCACAAGGAGAATGAACCATAAAGGAGAATATCACAACATGAATGACATTATGTTCAAAACATTAATGTTAAGTGAAATAAGCCAACCTCCAAAGACTAAACATTGCATGATTCCATTTATACGAAATTCAAGAGCAGGTGAAACTAATCTATGATGACAAGCATCAGAACAATGGCTATGAGGAGTGAAAACTGACTGGAGGAGGACACAAGAGAACATTCTGGGGTAATAAAAATGGCTTAAGTCCTAAGTGGGGTAATAATTACATGGATGTTTACATTGATCTAAACATCAAATTGTACTTCAGACCTGTGCATTCACTGTATGTCAACGGTACCACTAAAAAAGTAAAATAAATTGTTTGGGTCTTTTACGTCAGTACCAGAAAATGCAGAGCATACCATATATTTTAAAAATAAATAAAGGAAATACAACATTAGCATTTAATTTATCAATGCATTCTGAGATGTTTTAACCAGAAACCCATCTACTTCCAAACTTAAGAGAAAGATAATCCCTACATGCACATACACACACATACCTATGTGTGTGTGTATGTCTAAACAAGTTCTATGAGGTTCTCATAAAGTTTTAAACTGATTTGGCATTGGTATTAAAAGAAAACACTGAAAAGGGTTACATTGAGTAACCCATTTTTTAAAGCTTTTTGTATAGGTAGCATACCTGTGCCCTCTTCTGCACCTCCAAGAGGAGTTCAGAATACTGCAGCTCCAGTTCCTTCTTTTGTTTGTGCCAGCAGCTCTCTTGAGCTTTGATCTGCTCTGCCACTTTGTTAAAGGTGTCTTCCTGGGTCTGCTGAAGCTCCCTCATCGTGTCAGACTTGTTTTTACAGATATACTCTAGATGGCTTATCTACGTGGGGAAATGCAACAGAAAATGCAATACACTCACAAACCATTTCTTTGCATCACCTCTCCCAAAAAACACCCAAAATTTTCTACTATATTTCTTCCTAAGATCATATAAAAATTTTAAGTTAAAATGTAAATAAAGAAATTAAGAAAGAGGAATTAGCAGGGCAAATTATCATATTTTACTAGAAAATTGCCTCATTAGTATACTTAGATAAATTTTTTATTCTTCTCTTTCTAATAAAGTTATTTGTTCTATAATCAATTTTACTGAGAAGATTAAGAGAGATATTCTTACTTCTGGAACCAAAGCTCAAGCTATTCAGATATCTTAATGGAAAAGGAAGTATTTAAATGAGACTTACAAATCTGTAAACATTTTACATATAATAATGCCAAACGTTCCAATCATTCAAAATCCTGAAAGAAAATCTTCATCTTCTGAAATGTGTGACAATTAATGATGTTTTGAAACTACGAAAAACTATTAAAAACATAATACCATCTCAGAAGGTTAAAACACTAATTTTAATTTTCGATAACTTTCAAATTCATTATACACACATTCACAATCATGAACAGCATCTGTGCTCACAATTTTTCCCTCATTTTTCAGTCCTACCTCTCAGTGCATATGGCTGTGTTTGCCTGATAAGACCAAGGTAAAATGCACAACAATAAGGAAACTCACCCTAAAATTGGGCCAAGATGCTGTTTTATTGTTTCAACAGATTTTTTTTTAAACTTACAAAATAGTTTTTCTCTTCTTGTCCCTTAAGATTAAATATCATTGCAACTAAGATCTGGAAACTAGACAACAAAAACACAGTTCTAACCAATTTAATAGGCTCAGGATAAGAATCAATACCTTTGACGGTGGCATATTTTGATCGGATAAGCTCTTTTAATTTTCTATAACCAAAAAAAGGTTTTTTTAAGGTATTTATTTTTTAATTGAAACCTACTGATTGTACCTATTTACAGTGTACAGAATTATATTTCAATACATGTATACAATGTGTAATGATAAAATCTAGGGTAGTTAGCAAGCACATCATTGCACAAATTTATCGTTTCCTTGTGATAAATACATTTGAGCTCCTCTCTCCTAGCTATTTAAGAACATATAATAAATTATTGTTAATTACAGATGCCTAGAACCATAATTTAATTTTTAAAATTTAAATTTAAAAAATTTTTTGGAAAGACTGAATTGCTAGGCTTGTGAAACGGCAAAGTGACCATAAAAGTCTACCATTTTCTCCTAAAAAATAATACACTTCTTATATTCTAAAGCATGGAATGGATTTTCTAATATGCATTTTGTTATATGTCAAGAAACATGTCATAAGCATATAATTTTTAAAAATTTTAAGTGCTTTTAAAATAACACCTCATATTTCTTAAGCAAAGAATTTTAAGATCATGTTTTTGAATAACTATCCTGTTTCTATTTTATGCTAACATAAAGAGTTGGTTTATTAATGTAAATGACTAAGTTCTTTGAATTGCTTCATCAGTAAGATTAATTTATTTTCTTTTAATTAGGTCCCTGTGGCTAATACTGGCTAGTAGTATTAGCATGTCCTGCACAGAAAGTGGAGCTTAGAGACTTCATACAGACTTCAGTCACATTTACATGCCCACAGCAATGGCATCAAACTGAGTTGTAGACAAGCCATAATTAATGGTATTGAATTATTAACATCCAAATTCTTTTTGAAATAAGATGAATGTCAGCCCCTCTTAATGATACTGTGATGTGGACAAATGTCACTGAATTTAATAGAGGTATCTGGTGCCTGAGGACAGTTACCTTCTCATTAGCCCTGTTGAGGTCTGAGATCAGGGCATCAACATTCTCCTGCAAGACTGCACAAAGCTCAGACCAAGAAAATTTATCCAGAATGCCTTCTGGTTGTTTTATGAGCACACAGCCTGCTACCAAGTGCTGATACAAGGTATGAAGGAAGGTTAGCTTCTCCTGTGAGAAAAAAAGAAAAATTAATTCCTGTATATAAACATTGTAAGAGGTAAAATACATAATACAAATGGTAAAAAATTTATTTCAAAACCTAGAAAGGAATTCAGATATTAAAGTCTCAGAATACTGTCATGTTGATTACTTTTTTATATTCAAAACTAAGCATTAGAAAGAATACCTGGAAATGCTTACACTTGGTATTCAAAACCAAAATCTGGAGTCTAGAAGCCAGAGGACTAGGTTCCTGCTCCAGCTCTGCTGCTGATGAGGATGTGATCTGAATAAACACCTATTCAGTCCTAAGCTTCCTTAGCTGTAACTAGGTATCCGGACTAGTTGTTTATAAGCCCTTCTAATTGGAAGTCAGTATGATAATTCTATAATTTCGTATTTACATTTGCCAAAACAGATGTCATTTAAGTCAAAAAACAATGTACAGAAAAGAGTATTATTCAACTCTGATAAGCAAAAAGTTATACCAATATCTGTACTTCACATGTACACAATTACTCAGCTTTCTTTCTCCTCCAGAGATTCCAGTTTACTTACCACTTACGGGAAATCTATCCCAAGCCCCTGAGGCAAAGTAGTCTGTGATATGAAAGATATGGAAGATGGCCTCATTTGTTTTCTCCATTTATAAGTTCATATAGTATTTGGCACACTGGGCATTTGTAGGTGTTTAAATATTACAAAGTAACAAGCAAAAACAAAAACCAAAAATAAAATACTGAGCCTCTATAAAGTCCAGAAGCATGGAACTCAAAGATAAGGTAATTGTGAAGCTACAGAATGAACGCTTTACATAGAAAAAAATAAGTTCCCTCAAGATTTTTTAATATATCAGCAGGAAAAGAAAAGTTTTAAAAAGAGAAAATGTAAGAGAAAAAATAAAAATTCTAATCTTCTAGATTAAAAAAAGTGAATGCAGCATATGCAAAGATTTTGTAACTAGAAATTGCAGGGAAAGTTTTTCTACATATACCAAAATGTATATCTTAAATTCACCCTATATGCCACCTTACTGCTTTCCAAATACAATAATTTAAAAATGAAAAAATTTAAAAATGTAGTAACAACCACAAACCTAAGTTAAGAAATCAGAAGATTAGGCCGGCCCGGTGGCGCACTGCTACAGTGCGCCACTTGGGAGCGCGGCGGCGCTCCCGCCGAGGATTCGGATCCCACATACAGACCGGTTCCCACTCACTGGCTGAGCGAGGTGCGGGCGCAACACCGAGGGTTGCGATCCCGGTGCCGGTACGGGCGCGACACTGAGGGTTGCGATCCATTGCCGGTCACGAAAAAAGACAAAAAAAAAAGAAATCAGAAGATTATTCATAAATATGCTATGCCTTTTCCTTTTATAAGCAGTTAAAGATGACTTTTGCATTTTTTAACTGGGTTGGGATGTTTAAAAATCTTATTTTACAGCTAAATAAATGTATGTAATGTACAGGCATTAAATCTTCCTCCTCCACATTTTGCCAAGTGGTCACGTTTATCCTTAAGGAAGTTCATCCTCAAGGATAATTCATTGTGTCGCCATTATGTCCTTTTTGCTTGGGCTATGATAAACCAAGCATGACAATCATCCATTTGGCATGAAAAGAGAATCCCAAGATCCAAAATCAATTCACACATGTTGAACCCAACCACAATGCTGTAGACATGCTGACTTTACAATACAGTCAGGCTTCTAGTTTCCTTTACTTTAATCATTATCTGATGCGTAGAATAATTCCAACCCCTTCATGTGGACACAATTTAAATCCCAGACTGTAAGAAGAGTGGGAAAAAAATGTTTCCTTTTTTACTCTCTTGGCATTCATGTTCATATTTGTTGGAATAATGAACTCAATATGCAGGACAATTTAGACAAACCAGTTCCACTAGCTAGACTAACTCTATGTCCCATGGGTAAAAGAAAATATAAAATAACAATTCCATTCGCACAGATTCATACAGAATAGGAAATTTTTGTCATAATACTTTAAGAAGTCATTAAAGATAAAAATGGATAGACAACTCTCCAGGGCATGCAAATGAAAAGTTTTAAATTTCTGGGACTTTTATTTTTCAAAATTTGTATTAATACTTGATAATTATAAAGAGTAAGGAGAATGTCTATCAAAGTAGATATTATTGCTCTTTTACAAATAAGGAAACTAAGATGTGGAGAGGCTAAGCTGTGTGACTTGTCCACTGCCACATCGTTTGTAAATAGAAGTAACAAGATCCAAGTCCAGGTCTATCTGATTACAAAAAATACATTCTTTCTACCATACCAAGCTACTGAACCACTGAAATTAAAGAATAATTTTGTCACTGGCAAAAAGGCAAACCCTGGGCCGGCCCAGTGGCGCACTGCTACAGTGCGCAGCTTGGGAGTGCAGTGGCGCTCCCGCCGAGGGTTCGGATCCCACATACAGACCGGTTCCCGCTCACTGGCTGAGCGAGGTGCGAGCGCAGCGCCGAGGGTTGCGATCCCGTTGCCGGTCCCGGTCCGGTACGGGCGCGACACTGAGGGTTGCGATCCGTTGCCGGACACGAAAAAAGACAAAAAAAAGGGGGGGGAGGGAGGCAAACCCTGAAAAGACAGTTAGGAGCACAACTGCTTGAGATGTAATGGTCTAAAATTAGTCAAAGAAAATTAGTTGTACAAGTGATAGAAGGACTAAACTATATGATTTCTCTCACTACAGGATGACAGAAAAGTAATGAAGTAAATGATTTTGAATAATTTTTGAATTAATTCAAATATGACTAGAAATACAATCACCTGATATATTAAATGTATAAAACTGAGATTAGTGAAAGGCCTTTCCTGACAGTCACCTAGTCTCAAGTAATACCTCACTATCCTTACGGAAAGCCTGTGAAAGCTTCTGCAGTTCACTTTCAGACTGGGCTGCTCGCGTCTTTTCTTTCTCCCAACAGTGCAGCACATTTTGTAGTTCCACTTTTAAAGTGCTTATTAAAGCCTCTCGGTCTGCACATTTAGTGCGTAAATGACTTAACTCTTTATTCACATCAGCCAGTTTATCCTGAAGTTCCTGTTGGAGATACCAAATAAAGAGATTGTAGTAAGGCTGGTCAATTAAGAGGGTGGAAGAACACAAATACAAAATACATAATGAAAACTTTCAAAGCTTTAACACAAAAGAATCGCATCATGGCATTTGGTGTTGAGGAATATAAGAATCATGATTGTGAGCATTTGTTTATAATGTTAAACATTATATTTTACTGAATATATTTGCTAAGTATAATATCTTAGGACAAAAATTAGAAAATTTGTTGTTTTTGAACATTTACAAAAAATGTTAGTAAGATGGCTTATTCCAAAGAGCTCTTTGAAGGAAGTTTTCCATTCAACTCACCCCTTGGTAGTTCAAAAACTTTTAAATAACATTTAAATAACATTTTTAAAATAAATCTTTTGTATTTAATAAGAACACTTACTTTTCAATGACATTCCAAATACTAATGAAATCTGAAATATGTAGCATAAAATTCTGCTTAAGTAGTTATTCTTTAACAAATTCTATTGAAGTGCATCCATGACAAACTCAACACGAACCAACACAATAAAATTCCAACAATGCTGAGCAACTCACAATTGCCTCAGTATAATTTTGCAAAGATGTAGCATCTAAAACCAGTGCAAAAAATAAAATAAACTGTTTTCCTGGACCTTAACCAGGTATGGTCTCAGCCCATTATCAGACATGATGTAGTAAAAACGATGGCTCCACCCTAAGATGATGAAAACTAATTCCAAATATGAATATGTTTATATAAAATATGTTTACTACGTATGTAAGGCTGAACACTAAATCTTTAATCATTTTTTGAATCTATATTATAATTAAATCTGGGGAATAAATTTTTCTTTAACTAAAACAATCCCCAATCAAGTTTTTTTTTTTTAATGAAAAAACAGCTTATTTGATCAACAAACATCTTTACTTAAAAATATTCCCCCCAAAATTAAGTTGTTTCTTAATGCAAAAGGAAAAAGTTGTTCTAAATCATAATACCTTTATATTTTTAGTGTGAGATTCTATCTTCTGTTTGGTAGAATCGAGTTCATTAGATGCCTTTGCCTTAGCATCATTCATGCTGTTTAGCTGACAAAAGAAAATGTAGGTACCTTTTTACATTTTTCAAAGATGAGTAACTCAAAAGTTGATCTTTTAATTCTTTTTATGCAATTATTTAAATACGAACTTTTCAATAGTAATTGAGTCTTAAAAACATTATTTCTTTTGGTTAAATGCTATGTAGTTTCTGTCAGAAGCTCATATGGCTAAAAAGAATGGAAAGCATTCAAGCTTAAAATGTCAGTGATATTACTGTATTTTTACTAGATGTCTCGATAAATGATTTCATTCTCATTGTAAACAAATATAACTTTATTCTTAAAATCCTACCGGACCAAAATGCCAGAAGCACTGGCATCTATAAGGAAAGAAAAGAGAACAGAGCATAAGACTGTTCTTTCTATACATCATGAGGGTATTCACTGGTCTCTCACTCCATATGACAACCTCGGGGTCAGTCACATGCAGTCCTACTGGGAAAGCTTGTGGCAGGTCATCAGTTGGTCCTGCACCGCTTGTGATTTATTTTCTTTGACAGTTCATTCTTCTTTCTGTCAGACTGCTCTTTTTGCTTTCTTTGCAGCCACCCCCTTGGTCTCCCCACTGCTGTCTCTGGCACTGGTTCACAACAAAGCGCATTACTAAGCCAAAGCCTGCTGAGTCGACTTTTCAACTGTGCTGAGGATCATGTGACATTCATCCTCCCAAATAACAATTCGCTGTGGGTAATATGTTTCTAGTTACCCTGCAGCTTCCAGACCTAGGCCTCAGAAGAGTTTCATAAACTACTAACAATACAGGTTGTCTTGTCTCACTGGGAAAGACTTATTAGCAATATTTGTTCTTTATAGAAATTTGATTATTTTAATGGTCACTTTCTTTTATTCCTTTTGGACAATTACAGACAGTATTAAGAAGACTCATTTTTCCTTTTTTGTTCACCGTACCAAACTAAAATAAAATAAGCCTCATGTGAAATGTGAAATGTAATGGTTTTATGGCCTTTGTATTACATGAAAGAAAGAGATAAACAGAAGAATAAACACTAAATTCCAGGCAATGTGACTTGTCTTTGGCTGGAACAATCTGTTTGCTGTTTTGCTAACTAATTGTATTTAATGTAATTACTTCATATGCTAATTTGACAAGATGTAACTAGAAAAACTCTTCAATTTTTAAAGCACGAATTCATAAAACAGTTTAATACCCAAGAAAATTATCAACTCACACATTTAAACAATACAAATGAGATGATAAATAGAAACATGAGCTTTTTCAATCAGCAAACTAAAAGCTTCCAGGCTACATCAAACAGAGATTTGTTCTTAAAAACTTCTAACAACACTTTACTCCCTTTAGAGAATAAAAACTAATTTCTCTCTTTTTTATTAAGACTTCTACAATTTACAGAAATCTTAACCTAAAATATTGACAAAATCTAAATTTCTACTAGCTATTCCAAATGTCATAAAAACACATTTACATTAAAATGCAATACATATTAACCTAAATGACTTGCATAGCTTTTTAATTAAATTAAAACAGGTAAATTATGTAGACCCAAAAGTGATAGCCTTTATAACTCTGAAAATAATAGTGTGACTGAAGAGTTACAAAATCATAAGTGAGACCTGACTTTAGGCCATACTTAAAGAAAGAACAGTGACAGACAATTTATTTTTTTTTATATCTGTGAAGCTGTCAATTCAACATTCCCAATCTTTTCGACCTTTGTAACAAGCAAGGGATACGTACTGGTACAGGCCGAAGGCTATATGTGTGCAGCCAAACAGTGCAAGTGTTACCTCATTAGATGCATCTTTCAGCTTGTTCTGGTAATCTGTCAAGGTACGCCTCAAAGTCTCAAGCACAACAGAGAAGCTGGGAGGTTTATCTTTGTCCTTGTGGCTGCCTAGAGAAAAATACAGAATGAAAATATATCCTTAAAGTCACAAAGGGACAAAAGCTAGGCAAACAGTAACAGAGATATTACAATTTAGGTAGAGCTGAAAAGACATTATGAAACATTGAGTAGAATCTTATTCTCCAAATATACTGGTGTATAGCGAAGTATTAACAGCCATTCTAAAAAAGTGGCCAAATTAAAGTTCATAATATATCAAGTTCAACTTTAGAAAGACCCACATGATAGTTACTAGTTATTTTTCCCCCATATCTCCTAAGTAACTACAGTGCTTGTATGCACCTGTTATCCAACAATTAAATGAACAGTCTATACTAACATTGTTTGGAGGAGTTCTGTACACTTACTTTGGTCCTTGTGTTTCTGATCAGTTGGGACTTTCATAATGTCCTATTTTGCTTAAATAATAATTTTTGAACCCAAAAGTACATAGTTTTGTTATACTTGGAAATATTCTTCAATCCTTTGAATTCTCAAGTTACAATTTGAAATAAACAATAAAAATGCTATTATCTACATAGCCCACATCATGTTTCAATTAAAACCCTTAAAACTGATATTCATTGGAAAAATATGTGTAATTCCATGTTATGCCCTCAAACTACTTTAATTTAGTTGGGCCATAAATTAAGTTAGTTGAGTTAATCAAGGTCACATGGTCGAATGTAGTCCAAATATTACTCCAAAATAATCAAAAGTTGAGTTTTAAAAACCACTTTAAATTTACTGCTTATTGCACTAATCTTTCAGTATGAAAAAACAAGCAGAAAATTTATTTTAAAAATATTCATATTAAAAATATTTTCCTTTCCTGTTATAATTTCTCCCCATCATATTTTATAATCTAAATATTTTAATATATAACAAACACATTTTCAACAAAGATAATTTTTAAAAAGAATCATTCATAATGTTTTATTATTCATTCATTTATTCATTCAACTACTTTACCGAATTCCTACTATGTACTAATCTTAGGCATTAGGCATACAGAGGTGAACAAAATCCATGTAGTCTGCCCATATAGAATTTATAGTCTAAAAAGAGGGAGAAAGTAAATAAATAATTAGATGAGATCATTCATCCATTCAAGTATTCGATTACTGGAACTTGTTGGGGGATGGGGAAAGAAGGCAGAGATAAAAGAAAGAAAGAAAGAAAGAAAGAAGAAACTGGAAGGGCCGGCCCCTTGGCTCACTCGGGAGAGTGCAGCCCTGGTAGCGCCAAGGCCGTGGGTTCGGATCCTATATAGGTATGGCCAGTGCGCTCACTGGTTGAGCGTGATGCAGACCATATACCGGGCCAGGGGTTGCGATCCCCTTACCGGTCAAAAAAAAAGACAAAACTGGAAAAAATTCTTAGTTAATGATAAATCACCTTTATTCATCTCAGAGTACTGGTGATACTTAGTGTTTTAGTCTTGGGAAAAATGTTACTAATATATTTTTGACATTTATCGAGGTATAATTTTCACTATCTTAAGTATGGGTACAAATTAGATTTTCTTAAACAGAAAAATATATAACTTAAAAACCAAAATTAATATGGAAACAACACATATCCCAGTTAGGAAAAAAGAAAATACACTGCTCTGAGACATAATAATACAAGAGACAGTACTCTTCGTAATGAGTATGAGTTGGAAAGACAACTCATTAAAAATTTTATTAAAGGTCTTACCAAATATATTTTTTTAAATTGCTTTCTTGCCCAAGATAAAAAATGTAATGTATAATTCTTTTCTTTTGCTACTACACAAGTAGGCCATGAATAAATCATTCAAGGACACTCGGGAAATCTGCTGGTTTTTACAATAAGGGAGAAAACTTCCTCTTAGAAATTCAGAAGAATAAAATCATCTTAATATGAGTGCTGAGGAGTAAGGGGACAAAATGCCCTCTCCTTACTGACCCATGCACATTCTTATATTCTACATAAAATAAAGTTTTCTTGCCTGAAAATGTTTATACAATAAAGTTCAGTTGAACTACAAAATATGCTTTATGTTCCACCCACATCTACTATAAAAAGAAATACATACTGGTCACTTAACATGACAAAATGCTTGAAAATAAAAAGAAAGGGTCACTCTGGACCAAGACCCTTATTGATTGACTTGATTTAACCTAATAATACTCTGATTACTGCACTATGGCCCCAAAAATAATAAACTATTAAAGCTATCCTATCAGAGGAAGGTTTAAAAACTCACAGATAAAGAGCAGTACAAAAGATTAGAACAGTACTTATAATTGGCTTTTCAAAGGTCAAATTCCAAACGAAGAACAGAATATGTCAGGAACACTTTATACTTCAGTAACATCGACTCAAAATCTCTCGAGTTTATTTCTTCCTCTCCCTATACATGTGTGTCACTGTACATGGGTACCAGTCTATATGTTCATTTAACCACTCCCCGTTTTAATCTCTCCCTCCCACTTTTAAGGAGGCTTCAACTCTGACTGTGCTTTGGCAAATCTTTTCTTGAATTAGTAGTCCACAAGGGGTTGAGGTAGAAAAAAAAGGTTCCAAGCTTCTATTTAAATGTTTCCTTTTAGAAAACCTCAAAAACTAAATATTTCTACATGACTCATATAAACCACTGTTTTTCAAGCTGGTGTTATTACCTCAGCACCCTATAGTTCTACAGTAAAAACAGTTAAGTTGTGATGAATGAGGTGAGTCTACCTTTTCCACATTTTCAACCATTCTCTTACCTATTTCAGTTTCTTGAAAGACCCTAAAAGGGAAGAATTATTAAGAAATAATAGAGAGAGAATATAAGATGAAAGACAGCTATTTTTAAAGATTATCTACATAAAATATGTTCATCCTCAGAACAGATGAGGGAAAAAAATACTCTTATTTAATGCTGATTTTTGATCACGTAGTAGAAAACAGAAATCAACATTCAAATGGGTTTTATTTTCACCTGATAAAATCCAAGCATTTAATATATAATGAATTGATAACTAAAATAATTCCTTTTTCATTCTAAAAGCACTAAATATAAACTTTTTTTTTGCAATTATACTTTTCAAACTCAGACTACATTCTGAATATTAACTTGTCTCAGTCACTGAGGTCATAAATAAAACATCTTCATTATCTTGCAAACACTGATGCCCATTCTGGAGTGTTTAAGGAAAATAGCTCATAATTTTTCTAACATATGGAAAGTATTTATTATGTAAGTTCTGCTCATCCGCTCCCTAACCATGTCCCTTAGGAGAATCCAAAAAACACTTCCTTTACCAAGGCTTGAGAAATACATTGGTAGGGAGAGCTCCAACCTCCTCAGTGAGCTCTGTGTGACTTGATAAGCTCTTTGTGGCTAGAAGGCCAAGAATAACAGTAGAAAATGGCACCCTCAAACTGGGTTCCCTGAATTCAATGAGAGTGATGGGATCTCAGGTGACACAGGCCAAGTGGTAGCAATTAACTTCCAGAGACAAAGTGAACACAGTTACCATAATGAGCAATGGAATCAAAATAATAATCAAAATGGTTTGACCAATGGAGATTGCTGGCATTGGCTAACTGATAGTGGTGTTCCTAGAACTAAAATAGATGGTCAATCTAAGTTTTATTTGCATAAGTAGAAAGCTCTAGGTCTGATTACCAGAAGTAGGACTTAACACAAAAGAGAGTATTGGCCCTCAACCACTTCTCAGACTTGAGCTAGTTCACAGACACAGGCCTCCCTGAATAAAGAAGATAGATCCCCTTTAGGAACTCTGACATACTGCCAAAAAATTTCACTACAAAGCTTTCTCCTACCCGTCCTCAAAGAAACATGCAACTGTTTATCAGGATGACTGTATACTGGAGAAGGGGAATTAACTACACTTATCAGGGATAACTGGACACTGAATCTGAACTGATACTAATTAAAGGAGATCTAATATGCTATTGTGGTTCGACAGTCAGGGTAGGAGCTTACAGAGGTTAGGTAATTAGCTGAGTCTTGGCTAAGGTCTCTTTCCAGTAGCTCAGCTCATGCCATAGTTATTTCCCTGGTTTGGAATGCATCATTAGAAAAGACAAATGCAGCAATTGGCATAATGTCCATATTGGTTGGTTACCTGACCCATGGAGTGAGGGCTATTACAGAGGAAAACCAAGAAGAAAAAAATGAAGTGGAAGCCACTAGAATTTTTTACCTACCAAAAAAGTAAATCAAAAGTAATGACACATTCCTGGAGAGACTGTAGAGAGTAGTGCCTCTTTAAGGACTTGAAAGATAAAGGGGTTGGGACTCCTACCACCCTATCAGCATTCCACTCATCTATCTGGGCCTGTGCAGAACACATATAGATCTTAGGGAAAAATAGTGAATTCCTATAAGCATAATCATGTGTGACTCCAAATACAGCTACAGTTAAAGATATAGTTTCATTGTTGGAGCATATCAACACGTTTACTGGTAATTGGAATGAAGCTATTTGTTCTATCCTTTTAATAAAGACCACCAAAAACAAGTTTCTTCCAGCTGGAAGCACCAGCAATATATCTTCTTTGCTGTCCTACCTCAGAGCTATATTAACTTTAGCCCTCTATCACAACCACATCTGTAGAAATCTCAATCAACACTCCATTCTAGAAAATATCACATTCCACTTAGTTCTCAACTAAGTTGATAATATCATTCTGATTGGACCGGGTGAGTAGAAAGTAGCAATAACTCAAATTCAAGATGTACTAGAGCACTTCAAAAAGTTCATGGAAAGATTCATATCATCTTTTAATTCTATTTTACCATGAACTTTTTGAAGTACCCTTGTATATTGCATTTGGCAGGTCCTTATAGGTGAAATATAGTATAAACTTGTAGGATTTTGAAGCAAAGCAAGCCATCCTCTATAAACAAATATTTCCCTCTTGAAAATTGGCTTTGGACTTGATACTGGTCTTCAGCAGATACCAAATGCATGGCCGCCAATTTATCATGTGACCTGAGGTTGCCCATCATAAATGGTTATGGTCTG